CCCCAAAACCCCAAAACCCCAAAACCCCAAAACCCCAAAACCCCGAGATTTAGAGAGGGAATTGAAGAGATTTTAGGGGGTTAGATTATATTTTTAAGTCATCTTTGATTTCTTCAGAGTTTTGCTCGATTTCGAGGGGGGTTTGAAGTCTTTGGGCTGGATGTTAGGTATGAAGGTTACCGAGATGTTTGTTTATTGATAGTTTAGGCTTTTTAGCTTCGTGGGGGGCTTCTTCAAAAAGGTTCCTATAGTAAGTTTTAGACATAGGTTAAGTGAAACTAATATTTCTTTTCTGATATTATCTGAAACATTAGATTTTAACTAATAAAAAATTATTGCTTTATTTAGCATAAATCAATTATTTTGACCACTCAAAATAAGTGCTAATCATTATTTAATCAGAGATGATGACTGAAATTTTAATGAACTTACTTTTTCTCACGAGTGTTGTTCTTTGTAAGAGAAAAAGTGTTATGGCTGATAATTGATGTAGAATGCATATTATGAATATCAATATTTCTCTGTGGAGGGAAATTGACTGGTATAACCTTCTCAGTTACAGTTCACTTCTTCCTTAAAAAGATGATAATCTGTATAACCATTAGGCAAAGATAGAATACAATAGGAAAGAACATAAGAGCAATTCAGCCACTCCCAATAGTATAATTCCTTCCTTCTGTTGCGAATTCGTACTTCTTGTCATTGAAAAAGAAGAAGCAGAAAGATATCAAGAAGCAAATTCATTCATTTATAATCTCCTGAATATTAAGAGACTTATCAACCTCATGGTTTGAGTCTATGTTGACTAAATATGGTCTGAAATAGCATAGAAATAACACTCTAACAAATGACATCACCATTATTCAAAAGATCTGAAATGATGGACTCTGCCTGAAACTGAAAAGAATCAAAACGAATCAGAGTCTATATAGAAGGTGTATAACATGAATAAAAGGATAGTATCTCTTATACCTATTATAATCCTTCTCGAGCATGTCAATAACTGAAATCTTATGTGGATTGCTCTCTTGATCAACTACGGCATTATCATGCCTCACAATTTTTCTGAATCATATAATAACCACGGTCAATGTATAGCCAAGATATACAAACAAGAGGAAGCTAGAGATATAAATTGATAACATATCAGCAGAAGTCTTGACACTAAGGAACTTCAAGTTTAACCAGATGCTAAAAATCACCTTTAGGTAGGATTGATGGATGATTCTGAAGATAGATGCCAGACATATTCTTTCCTTCTGAATGTTGATCAGCTGGAAGAGATAGTTTAAACATCAGCTCTTGTTTCTTTCCTCCTCAGTTTTGGGACATACGCACCATCAGAAGGAATATAAGAGATAAATTATGATGAAGAAAGCAATGAAAATGAAGAATAGCACAAATGCTTCTGATCAATTGATCAATATTGAAGAGTTGTAATACTCATGGTTCTCAAATAAATAATCTATTGGCTCCTTTACAGTTAGGTCTTTGATATCAGTAAACATTAGGCCAGTGCTGTTCAAGCCTATGCTTTCAAAATTAGTCATTCTTAGCTTTCTGAAAGTATTTAGAATATTCTGAGGGTAATAGAATGCCATTAGAGATAACAAATGCATCAATTGAAGGTGATTCAACAAACTCCAGAAAAACTGTGTTGGTATTCCTAAGAATATTGATGAAGGAATAATTAGTCCAACTGAAAGAATAATAGATGGCTCAAGCAAGCTATTTTTCTATAATTTCAGAAAAGGAAGGTGGGGGCTTTGGGATATATTTTGTACAAACTGAAGGCTCTCCTTCACATTTATAGTCCTCTTCAATTTTTCAATCTGGAGTTCATCCATCTCCTTCAGTATTATTACCATCATCACATTCCTCAACTTCAGGAGAAGGAATCCCATCTCCGCAAGAATGACCACAGTCAAATCTAAACTCAGGTATAACTTGTTGAAGGCAATGAAATCCTCGCTCTACTACTCAGTCTGAGCTACATCCGTCATAATCTCTTCTGTTGCAGTCACCTCAGTGAGTGTAGTCATCTCACATTCCTAATATATTGATTCATGGATCGCCTGCATCATACCTTGTCACTGATATGGAGAAGTTCACGAGGAACCCTCATCAAATCAGAAGAATCATTTTGAATGAAAATATCTATACAATAGTTCTACTAAGGATTAAATAATTTGCAACAGAGAATCAAGCCAAGTGCTGAGAGATTCCCTTCAAAGCAAAGTGTTATTTTCGAAAAGGAATAGGCAATTTTAGAAAAATTTTACATGAAAGAGAGCAATATCACAAATACAATTGAAGAAAGTATTTCTAAGCTGATGAAAAATGAAGTGTGCTTTGTTGAATAAGGATTTAAAACATGGTCCTGAGACGTACCATTTTATATAATTATTAATAATAATCTTACTTCACTCCTGAAATCTCATATAGGGGTTTTGGGGTTTTGGGGTTTTGGGG